TAGCCCTTACCCTGGGGCAAGATGGAGGGCGTAGCCCTCGCCCTTTCAGAGAGTATGTTTATTAAAGGTTAGGACAGTGATACAAATGAAGAGCTTTGGGTAGAAGAAGCAAGATCACAGTAACAGAAGTGACCCTAGACTGGGCTGCATAAACTCAGAAAAGGAAGTCACAGCAACAGATGTGAGCCTAGGCTGGGCTGCTAGATTACTGAGAAGTAAGAGTGTGAGAGACAAAAGTGAGCCAAGTGGGGATTGCTTTTGGCTCGCTGAAAAGTTAGACAAGAGGAGGACCCTGGGGATTTAGGACAGCGGTTCTCAACCTGTGGGTCGAGACCCCTTTGGCGGTCAAACGACCCTTTCACAGGGGTCGCCTAAGACTATCCTGCATATCAGATATTTACATTTCGATTCATAACAGTAGCAACATTACAGTTATGAAGTAGCAACGAAAATAATTTTATGGTTGGGTCACAACATGAGGAACTGTATTTAAAGGGCCAGAAGGTTGATAACCACTGCTCTAGAGCAAGTGCCCAAGGATGTGTAATCCACTGACAGCTGTTTAAAGAGTTAATCTCTCAAAGTGAAGGCATATCCGTGGGTTTTTAGGATTTATTAGTAAGCTGAAGCAGAGCTTTCCTGGGACTCTTGAAAGCCTTTTTATTCTGTCTGCCTTGTTGGTAACCACTACCAAACCCAGTTGTTGTGCTGGTGAGCCCTGAGAGAAGCCAGGAGAGTTTGCATTGTTGGGGTCCCCAGAGTGAGATCAGAGAATGCATTTTTAGACCAGGAGGGATAATAAAAAGAACTTTGGACCTAAGTGTCAGACACTGTTTTAGAAACTAAGAATGTAGAGATGATAAGACAGTTATTCTTCTCTCGGAAGGTTTAATCAAATCAAGATACAATGAGATCAATTAACCATCTAAGGAGTGATGCATATCAGTGGAGATAATCAGTTCTGCAGCTGTGCTACAAGGAACAGAATATTGGGGGCTCCTGGTTAGTCTCCTGTGAACAGCTGAGGATGAAAATAAGGAGAAGCCCAGGAAATATGGCAAGAATGTTTCTGAGGGTTAGTAGCTGGGCGGTTGAGATCAAGGGCAGTGGGTACTAACAGCTGTCACATAACCTTCTCTACAAGTGCTTTCCTGGTTCTGTGAAACCTATGAATAACCTACTTATTGGCATGGCATCCTTTCATGAAACCAAATTATGTGGGTAAATAGACAGGGCAGGGGAACAGCATTCTGCTGGGAGACCACATTTACTCTGCGGGGTTCTTCCAAGGCAGTTGTTGGAGTTGGCCCATAGATCAGAAGCAATGTCTTCTGGATCCATATCATGTATATGAACAATGAAACCTTGGTCCTGTCATTGTTAAGAGTAAGGAACCACGGATATCAGAAAAAGGGCTGCTTTGGGACCAAGGGCTATGTTTACCAACATCAAAAATTCTCTTTGAACAAATCTTTAATCTACTCCAGTGGGTAAATATTTGATCTAGTCATTCCCAATAAAAAGGTGAATTTCCTTGTTTGCCAAGGGCAGTGTCCTTGGTTTCCTTATCTCTACCAGGATTAGGGTTCTTTTGAACTAGTTTCCCCACCCAGTTCATTTGATCGCTATATAATCAGAAGCAGAGGGATCCAGTGCACACAGCTGGAACCCATCTCCAGGAGGAACTCTTCAGCTGGAGGAACTCTTCCAGATTTTTGTAAGATTCTTACCTCTGGGTAATCTATTGCTGTATTTTTTTTTTTAATATATACATACTATTTCTAGCCATTTAGCTATTTCAATGAAACTATTTTTCCCCTTGTAAAGCCTATGGGCCCAACTTATGAACTAAGAAAAAATGAACCAGATTCTAAAGTTTAAAATGAAAGCAGATTTCTTTTGGGATTGTCTATATGTGTGTGGATGAAGGGAGATTACTGAGACTGGGAGCAATGGAGGTTTAGGAGGAATTCCCGAATTGTGATAAAATCCCCAAAGTCCTGGGGAAGCCATTTGCTGAAGGGCATCTGAATGCCCCCAGGAACAGGCATTAAATGTGGCAGAGCAAGGAAAGAAACAAAAAGAATGCTTTTAGCTCTGTTTTCTTTTAATGTTCTCTGCTATTTATACTTAAAAAGAAGTTTTGATTGTTCTTTAAGAGCCAAGTAGAACACATCCAAGATCAAAAGAAGGTATACTGGCAGGTTGAAGGGAAGAAAGAAGGAAAAGAGATAAAGGGAGGAATATGCCTCGAGTGTTATGCCTTCACTTTGTGGGATATTGCCCTAGAATATATAAAAGTGTGAAGCTACATGTTTGGAAATTAAAACCATAATTACTTATCATGGACTGTAAGTTAAGTCCCTGGTGTGTAAAGTTGGATGAATCTCTTGAATACAAAACATTGCCTGTGGAGAGAGGAAGAGAATATTAATTCTTGTGAAGATTAGATTGGTTTGAGACAGATGATAAAGTTATTCTGAAGAACAGTGAGGACATATTTCACTGACAAAAAGCTGACTGACACTTATGTGCTTGAATAAGGAAGGTGATGTGTGAGTGAGTTTGACGACCAGATGAGAGGCTCTAAACCCTTGGCCTACGCACATTCACTTCCACACCACAAATAATGTCTCATACTTGTTTTCTCCCAAATTCATTTTACCTCTTTTGGGGAAATTTAGGATTGAATATATGAGTGAGCAAGTTGTGAGTGGGGGAGCAGATATCAGACACTGGTGGCCATGGTGTGTACTGGCTGGACTTTGGTTTCTGGATGCCTTAGGGATTCAAGATTACAATAAACCTGAGAAAAATTTAGCTAAGTTCTTGCAGAATTGATGTGCAAGTTCTTCAAGTTAGAAGCAAAGATTTTCCTTTACCTCTTCAGACTGGGATGGGAGGCCTTCAATCTCCACCAGCAAATGGCTTTGTAGGATATGAAGCCCCTGTGTGGCATCAGTCCAGGGACTTAATTAAAGGCGGTCTAAGGGTTTTCCTTATACACTGAGCCTCAAGAAACGATACATCTCAGAGATTGGGTCACAGTTCTTCTTATCAACTATTTCTTTCACTAGTTGTCTTCTGCTATCAACTAAACTTATACAACTTTGTCTTTGTAATTCTACTAAACTTTTGCTAGTAAAACTGGAAAATATTATCTTATGCTTAAAGAATTCCATATTTTAGAGTTGGCAACTCTCTCATTCTATAGATGAACAAACTTAAGTCTTGAGAGGAAAATGAAGTCAACCACTAAAAAAAAAATTTTTAAAATTGAGGGTCTACTGTGAGGCAGGCACTGTGATTCAAGTTGAATAATATGGGCTCTGCCCTCCAGTAGAGTGTAAACCAGTAGGAAACACTGACAAGAAGACAGGTGATTGGATAACAGCTTGGAAATGGCACCTGTGGAAATTGGCAAATCACATCTTTATTTTGTGATTTCCTTGTGAGCAGATCCTGAGCTTTATGACTGTTGCTTTGACACTTGTATCTAATGGGGTGTCCTTGGTCTCAATATCTAAGCACAAAGTGTTTGGACAGACACTAGACAGGCCCAGCAGCTCAGACCCCCTTCTTTGAACAACAATATCCCCACAACCTGTAGAGCACTGGCACATCTTACAAGGACCCATGGTCTCCATTACTGCATGGAAGATGTTGGCAACATTTCTACCCATCACTGCCACCTAATGACTCTTTTCACTACTACAGCTCTGGTTCTGCTTCCTGATTTTGAATTCTGGGTTTCTGGCCCTAGGCAGAGAGGTGTTGACTTGGTGACCCTAAGGTCCTGTTCCATCTTGGGGGCCTGAGATTCTGTAATTGCCTTTGACATTAGAAGGCAATATTTGTCTATTGAAGAACAAGAGACCTAAATGAATCCAAATGAATAAAACTTTGATGAGGTCTTCCACAAAACTAGAAAAATAAAACACACCCAGAAGACTAAAAAGCACAATGTAAGTGTAAAGAGTTCGGCAAATGGGAAGCATGGCAGGCCAGCAGCTGTACTGAAGCAGTGGCCACGTATGAATACTTGTTATTCTTTTAGGGCTGGCTCTTCCCTCTTCAGTCATGTACCACTTTTTTGCTCAAGTTCCAAGAACATGCTTTCACTTGATTCTATTATAAATTATAATTGATGTTCTTAATGGAAATGTTTTTTAGCTGTTATTTATTTCAGTATTGTAATATGACCAAACATTTTCTTAGTGTATAATTTGGTATTCTTCAACAGTGTGCCAAATTTGTGTATCATTGTTATGAATCAGACAAGGTGCATCAATGCCAAATGATGATGAGAAAGAGTGTTCACTTTGCTCTCTCTCTCACATGCCTTCCCATGAAACCATCAGAACCCTGAAATTCCTGATCTTTCTAGATTTACAGTCATACTCCAAGGGCTGTTGAGTAATACTACAGGCTTAGTGCTAGAACCTGTGGCATCTTTAAGGGTGTAAAAATATTTGACATGAAAATAATTTTATTGACTTAGAAAGGTACAAAATAAAGATTACTAAGTAATTTAATGTCTATGAAAATGTAACATTTGTTTTCTTTTAAATTAGGATTTGTGTGAATTACATCACACTTAAGAATAAAATTGAAGGTCCAATTTTTTCTCCCATTGTAAGAATTTCTCATTACTTGTGATGGTTGCTAAGAAATCATAGCCAGTCATAAAGTAAATAAGTTGCTCATTCACAAACCATTTGAAAAACAAAGTTATAAAAACCAGTTTCAAATTTTTGTGAAAAGTCACAAAAAATTATCATTTGATGTGGGAATACTCACATATATTTTATATATGTGGGGTAACATATGATGGTTTTTAAAGGCTCTGAATGTTCTTTAAATTTTTCTCCAAAGAAGTAGTGATATTGTCAGAAATTACCTGCTGCAAACACCAAATAGTTTTCAGTTCTCAAATCTTCACATTTCTTAACACATAAATTTTAAAAGTCCATAAGAAATTTGTTTTCTATTTTGTTATAATTTATACTTGTTTAATTCTATTTTAATAGCTATCATTGAGATAAACTCATACTCCAGGAAGAAGCATTATATTTATTTTATGGGTTTATTTGAGTGTCTCTGAAACACTGCCCCTGGGAAGTGTAAGTTCTACAGTTTAGACTGAAAACTCTTGAGAGATGATGGTAGCAATTCTCTTCTCTTTCTTATTCTTTTCTAAAAAAAAATACTTTATTTATTTAATTTTTTAATCCTCAACCCAGGATATTTTTCCATTGATTTTTAGGGAGAGTGGAAGAGAGAGGGAAAGGCAGAGAGAATTATTGGTATGAGAGAAACACATTCATTGATTGGCTGCTGTAGGAGCCCCAACAAGGGTCCTGGCCTGGGAGGAGCCTGCAACTTAGGCACATGCCCTTGACCTGAATCAAACAGTTCTTAGGTCCACAGGCTGACACTCTTTTCACTGAGCCAAACTGGCTAGGGCTTATTCTTCTTTTTAGGAAGATGTTAAGAAATCATTACAGCCCATTATAAGGACTATGTCTTGAGGCAAAGTTCTGAAGAGGTTTTCTTTGTTGTTGTTGTTATAGTTGTTTTTTATCACAATGTAACATCATATGCCTGTTCTATAACAGTCTATGTACATTTATAGGGAAACTAGAAAATATTCTCTGAGAATAATCCACATTGTTCCTAAGAATAAGCTTGTCGTCGCTCTCTATTGTTTGCCTGGATCTCCAAAATGCTAACACAACAAGCTGGGAAGTAAAATAGCGAATGAACTGTTTTGTGTCATTTCATGATGAGACATGCCTTGCAGTGGGTAAGGATTGGCAATGTGGGGAGTGAGGACCTGAGGTGGGCAGGTGGATCAGGAACCATTTACTGCTCGCCACAGTGGGAAGGAAATGAGAAATCAGTGTTCCCAAGAGCAAGTTGAGAAGAAATCAGCTACTAGATGTCACATGAGAGTAGGCAAGACATAGAGGAAGACAGTCTAGTAAGGAAGTCGGTGGTTAAGAAGCAAGAAGACATTGGGGATCAAGGATCCACAAAGATTGATAAGTAAAAGGACAAGTAAGCCATGTCAAGACTGACATCACTAATTAGAATGTCAGTTGGTTAGAGCTCAGCCTTTACTTCCTGCCATTCTCTACAAGTTTAGGAATTATAGGGGATGGGTGCTAATAAAACTCAGTGTTCACTTAGCACTGTACTCTCCCCCAGCTTGGGCAGGATTCAAGATGGCAGACAGCCTTCATTGGGAAAGGGGACTTGGGTGGCTTTATTCCTCCTCTTCTTGCTCACTTCTGTGTTTGCTGTCTCTTCTATTCTCTTCGATATTGCTGTGGGAAAGGGGGAACGAGGGAAGAGAATAGGCTCATTTTGACCTAAGCTGGATGGTTTCATGCCCTTTATCTGGCAGCCTATGAAAAGGTAGACCTGGAAGATGATTTCATTGGTGACTTCTGTGGGCTCCTGGAGAGTTCTGTTCTTCTGATGACCCAACAAGATAGATATTCTAAGTCAGGGGTCCTGAAACTTTTTAAACAGGGGGCCAGTTCACTGTCCCTCAGACCGTTGGAGGGCCGGACTATAGTTTAAAAAAAAACTATGAACAAATTCCTATGCACACTGCACATATCTTATTTTGAAGTAAAAAAACAAAACGGGAACAAATACAATATTTGTATTTGCATGTGGCCCGCGGGCCATAGTTTGAGGACCCCTGAATTAGAGTGTGAATGGATAG